AAACTAGGAATTCTTAAATTTACATTTTATAAGAATTGAGTCTCTATTAAAAACTTATTTCAACTAATACTTTCAATTTTTTAAAAAATTAAAAAGTAAAGGAGAGTGATAGGTTTTACTTTAATGGGATGAAGTGAAACTCGAAATTATTAAAGGTCTATCCAGATGTAGTAATCCTCATATAGTTGTGTTAAGGATTGAAAAAGATCCTAAGGAAAAGAAAGATAAATTATAAGAAAAAAAAAGAGAAAAATAAATATTAAGAGAGGAGAAGCTTGAAGAGAAACATAATTAAAAATTAGTTTCACTTGAATCTTTTAAAGTAAATGACTTTGTTACAATCCTAAACTTCTTTATATTTCCAAAAAAAAGTATTAGTTAATATTTATAAATAGAGTGCTTTAATTCTATTTCCTATACTTTCTAAGGATCTTATGTTTGACAAATATCAATGGTTTTCAAAGTAGATAGAAAATCAGAATTTCAAAGTTGAATACAAGGTTTTCTTATACCATAATTTTAGGCTGATTTACTATAATTTTTCTTAAGCTAAATTATGACATTCCTGAGACAAAATTGTTCAAACCCACTTTTTCAAATTTATAAAATTAAATTTAAAAATGTTAGTGTTACTTGAAGACAAGTAACGTTTAATTTTGGGGGATTTTGATATGTCCTAAAGCATACTTAATTTTTTTTTATATTTTACACTTGTTTATGGATAAAATTGCACTTTAAAGAAAGATATATTTGTGTTTTTCTTACAGATATAACAGGTAGGACATATGGAGCAAATTAGAGCTAAAATGGAGAGAAACAGAGGTGAAACGGAGCATACTGGAACCAAGACACTGGCGCCTAGGCACCCACACTCGACCTAAGCGCCTTGGCGCTAGCTTACTGAGTGCCTAGGTGCCGGAACCCAGTTAGCCAACCTTGTGGCGCCAAGGCATTGGCCAGCTCCTGGGCAGTTTACTTCATATACTGCAGCACGACTTGAGGAGTTATAAGGTTGATTTAAGCAGTTTGAGGGAGGGCATAAGAATATTTTAAAGCCTTGAAAAGTGGAGAAAGGCAGATGAGTTGTTGTATAGAGTTAGGGTTTGGTATTTTATACTTTCTTAGAGAGATTGGAGAAGAATTTGAGAGAATTCTGTAAGGGGGTATACTCAACATTGCAGGGAACACTTGAAAATCTTTTGGGGAGGAATTTTCATCTCTTTTCTAATGGAAAAAGCTAAGTATTGTGTTTTATATTGTCTTGTATTGTTTGTATATACAGTTCAAGTGGATTTGCTTTATTATAAGATGATGATTTATGTTATTTCCTTCATGCATTGTGAGTAGATCTTTCTTATATTTCTCTTGTGATGAATGAGCTGAATGAGCAGGTTGTTAAGATGCTTATATAATTGATCTTTAAACATTTATGTGATGAGTATTCTTAAAAACTTAATTTACTTTTCATACTGGCTATATGAATTGTTAAATTTTTTTGTGATCCATTATGAATCAGAAGAGCGATGTAGGAACGATTAGAGCATTCACATCAAACTGGTGGGTGAAGGAAAAGTAGTCCATAAGGTAATGCAAATAAATAGAGAAATAGACATTATTGGGTTCAAATTGAGGTTTAAATAATTAAAACAAGTTTAACCAAACCACTTTATGCACTCGGGAGAGGGTAAAGAAGATGATTAGTCCTATTTTTCACTAGCCACATTTGCAATTTGAAGTATCTATTCCGACACAATCACTTATATCATCACAAGATATGGGCTACTTTTATTTCTTGTAATCACCAATCCAATTAAGTTAAGTAGGTTTTAACATTAGAATTAATTGAATTAGTGTAGGGGTAGTTGGTAGAACTTTCGTCTAATCACAAGTCCAAACTATGACCTAAAAGTAGTAGACTATAACTTTCCTTAAGGAATTTCATTACCTTGTTCTCTGTGGGATCAACAATCCAGACTCAATAGAGCCCTATATTACTGAAATGATACATATACTTTTTTGAGAAACCCCAATGTGCAAGAACACCTAACTTTAAGAACATAATCAAGTTGCTTGGGAGCGGATCAAGTTTTGTAGTGTCATTACCAGGAATTACATTATTATGATAGTAGCTAGTGGATCAGTGGCTCATAGATAGGATCCACTGGAAGGAAAACTCACTCTGAAATCTAACCTACAGCCTCCCCAACAAAAGTTAAGATATTGGTAGAAGGAACTTGTCTAACCCACTGAGTATTTTACAAAGTCAAACGATCAACCTTTATCCTTAAATAAAGCGAGAATCACTAGGGGAGTGCTCCAAACCTCCTTTTATCGACATAGGGTAATTTATCTTACTTGATGAAGAGGAACCCACAATAATTTTCTTATTACTCATGGAAAGAG